GAGAGATTTGTCATTGGAAGCGTCTTTCCACTTGAAGTGACTCTATTTATTGAGATAGTTTTTTTTCAATGGATATCCGTCGTGCGGATTTCTCTGTTGTCAAACAATTATCCATATGCAAACAATGGTATTCTAACAATGCAAAGTTTATGTCTGTCTTGAGAATATTTTTTTGAAAAATGCACTTTTAAAGAGCAACAAAAATTTGTGAGAATATGAATTCAACTCGGAATCTATAGTAAAGCTTACAGGAGTCAGGATACCTTTTGTAACAGTATGCTTTCGAACCAACCTATGCTTCAATTAGGACGTTTAAAGGGTCGTAACATGGCCTTGTTCATGGTTTAAGAAACAAAGGATAATGCTCAAAGTTTATTTGTACCCAACTCGTTCTCCATGATGTTCTTTAGCCCTATACTCAGTTAACTGTGCGCGTGGATTCCATTTGAGTCTTAGAATGGTTCTTAAGTGATTGTTCAGAAACTGGAAGTTTATTTGAGAAGGCAGTCATTTTTGCAACATTTTTCTACTGTTGAGGATTTGTAACGACCTCTTTTTCTTGATTTATTGTCCCTAATTCTTGCCTGACTATTCTTGTTTTGAGATTACAGCCAGCAGGATGCCACAGTTTTTTTTAAGTCTCTTTCATAGGTTTTGACTCAGTGGGCTTTTCTTTTGAGATATAATGATTTCCTATTTCACGGGGAACCAACATCATCTTTTGATTCAGAAGGAAATTTTCATTGTTAAATGACAGCTTATGACTGAATGCGCCTTTGAATCAACTGAGAAAACTACCCTGCCCTAGGTTATGATTGAAGGTTTCAATTTGTACAGAAAAGAAAACTCATACTTCTTTGGCTCAAAGGGGTTGAGTGGGGATTATCTTCCTTATAACTCCACTATTTTGGGTTTGAAACAACGTATGTACATCGTCAGTAAAGTCTGTTCAAAAGCATACTGTATGAGATTATGGTATTGCTTTCGTCATCCTCCCTCTAAAGGCTTATAGCTTGTAACCGAGAGTTGAATATCATACAAACGAGGTAAAAGCATAATTTCGGTATAGTGAAAGCGAATGGAGTAACTCAGGACAAACATATGGAATGCATTAATGAGAGAAAACAAAGTCTGACATAAAGATAAGTGTTTAAGCAAACAAAGAAATTACAACTGAAAATTCAAATGAACAAAAATTTCCCCGCTTAAACGGATCACTTCAAATGGTGTTCATTTGAAGGATGACAGAAAAACTCCAGTTGACCATCTTGTGTGAATTCCAACACCCCTTCGTCGATCAGGTCTTGAATCTTGTTTTTCAACGCCCAACAATAGTTAGTGTCGTGTCTAGGATTATTGGAGAGGTACGCACACCTTTCTTAATGATTGTAACAGTGAGAAGCAGTAATGGGTTTTTGAGGAGGCTCCCTTAATGTAACCAGCCTAGCTTCCAACATATGATGCAATGCTTGAACCAATGGCATGTTGATCTCGGCAAATTATCTTCCTTGCTTACGCTGACCACCTTGTCATGGTTGGCGAGTTTGTTGTTGGACTCTTGGTATAATAGCCATTTTTAAGGGTGTTCTCTCAACCAAAGAAACTTCTTGTCTTATTGGAGGCTGATTAATGAATTGATCACCAATTATAGCTATTTGTTCCATATGGTTGCATCCGTCTTGATGAAGCTTGTCGACGGGAGCTCTCATATCTTCTTGTCCCCGGGCTAAGTTTTGGATAAAAGCCATTTGACCTACCATTTATCCCATCATCTGGACTTTCATTGTTTCGATTTCAGTTTATAATCGTTCTAACTGGTCGTCCATGTTATCTTCAGGATTCCTCTTGGTTATTCTCTCAATGAGGAGTGTTTTCACTTCTTCTTGCCCCTTGGATAGGTTCAGGAACAATTCTCGAAGTTGAGCATTTCGGGTCTGAACATCTATGACAGTCTATTCTAGAGCCATCTCTACTGAAATAAACAGTAAGTAGATGAGAAACCTGTGTGGGGAAAACATGTCAGGATATGATGCATGGTATGTGGTTGCAATGTTTTCAAGGATCTCGGGGGTAAACACAAGAAAATGTCAGAAGCTAAACTTTGACTGTAGCCTTGATTGAAGAACTCTGTATCGTTGAATGTCCTTCTACGAAAATCGAGCTCACCATGTCGAGTGGGTCATAGCCCTTGACTCAAGTTATCGTGCTTTAGCCTTTGATAGTATTTGGTTAAAGGAGAATAAATCCTCTTGCCCCTTGATAGATGTCTGGTTCATCATGTCCCTGCATCACAGGCCCTTGATATCCATGAAATGGTCAGTGGAAATGATATGGTATGATGTTGTGATGTTATGTACAAGTAAACATATACATACAAAGTAAACAAGTTGTTATGTACAAACAATCATATACGCACAAAGCATACAATTCTTTAGGCTTAGGGTTGCATGAAGTTCATAGGTAAGTAGCTTCTTGAAGTTTAGTTGGTTCAACATGTCCTAGAAAGTGATCGGGTTCTAGGGAATCTCAATATCATTGATCTTTCTTCATTGGACATTGTTTCATCGCAAGCCTCTTTATTAGCGATCGAAATATCCCGAAAGTCAGATCTAAATGAGTGTAGTATCGAGTATCAACCAACTTCGGACCGCACCAAAGTCGGCTATCTCACTAGTTCCTAATGGCCAAGTTGTTCAATTAAAGGTTCTAAGGTCATTTAGTGCTTCATGACACCACACAGCAGCCCCGTATTCTCCTTGACTAGACTCAAGGGCTACCGGTACCAACAAATTTGTCACACAAACATAGCCATCACTTCAACCATGTCGGTATACCCCGTACAGTTTCTACAATCTATTGCTACTTACCTAATGGTTTTCTATGATCCGGGTAGAGGATCAAAACAAACCCAAACAAAAGCCCAAAATGTAAATCAAACAAATCAAACAATAAAAGAAATTAAATGTGATCTAGCTCTAAGGTAACCCCACTTTAAATATTTCCCCAGCAGAGTTGCAAGTTCTGTAATATGGTGGGAGAACTGACTTGGGTGTTTTGCGTTTGATCGCAATTGTTGCGGATAGCAAGAGTTGCCAGCGACTTTTATTTTATCCAATAAGGAAAGGGTGAAAAGAACAGGAAAGACCTTTGAGATATTTTCTTGAGATTAGGGGGTAGGTTATGAAAATGGAAGGTGTTAGCGCCCTTTTCATCCGTAGTTATCTACGGGCTCTTAGTTGATTGATAGATCACTTGAAAATGCATTATTTGAAAATGTGTTTTGTGATGGGTGCAAGTTTGAAAATATTTTAAAAATGCCTTTATTTCGGAAAACTTTGTAATGACTCTCGTCTCTATAAGAATGTATACAAAGTGTTGGTTTTGAAAATAGTTCAAAGAGATGTTTGTTTTTGAAGATGTTTTGAAAGTGTGAGTGCGGAAATGGTTTTAGTTTGTGAGCAAGCAACTACGAGCATTCTACCTACTCAAAAGGTCTTTGTTCTTTTCCTCCTCCTTTAGATGTCTCTATCTTACCATTGATTGGTAAGAAGCCCTATAGTTGGATGTGAAAGGACGGGCGCGGGTCAATCGTACAGTCATAGAAGGCAACTTGTGAGATGCTTTAGAAATTTTCTTAAGGGACTAGATCGTTTACCGAAGGCAACATCGTGGGACTACGATCTTTTTTATCGAAGGGTCTTTGCTAAAGCGTCCCATATTCGAGGGACATGACTGTATTTTTCAAACGAAACAAGCGAGGTTACCCTAGAGGTGCGCATGTGCAAAATGATTTGTTTTCAATTGAATTATCTTGAAATTAGGTTATCTAGTGGTTGTTTTTATTTCTTGCCATATACGCCTAATTACTATACAGTGTAAGGAAAGACAATACATTGTGGAAATTAAAATTCTACGCTATTACAGATCTTTCGGGAATGGGGAGTACAAATTTACAAATGGGGGTGGATCGAATCGTCAATGCGATTAAAAGTCTAAATAGACAATCAATACAACCAAATTGAATCGAATATGTAATTAAAACTACAATAATCTATGAAGTAAAAATTAATTAAGAAAGTCTGGGAATAAAAATTCTTGGTATTTTTGTTTGTGAGAAATTTAGAAAGAAAATAAAGAATCTATTCTATTATTATTTGAATTTTATTATGTATAAACTAAATATTTTAAAACAAAGTTATATATATATATATATATATATATATATATATATATTGATAAAATTATTTACAAAGTCCTAAAAAATTAATTATTTGAAATTTATTTTCATTTAATTGAATTTTAAGAATAAAAACGAAAATTAATTCTATTATCAAATATCTAAAAGAAATCAAGAAAACTGAAAAAAGGCCCCAGTATGGGTTGAACTCGGATCCCCTTGGTTGTTAGTAGTATGTTTTGCCAATTATAATAGATTACTATGTTTTTATTAATATGAATCTATTAATATAAAAGAAAAAATCAATAATTGGATTGGGCCGAAGGGCCCAAAAGGTCGATCCGGTTAGAAGAAATAAACAAGGAAAGTTGTAACCCTAAAGCTCAGGAAAACGCGCCCTTGCAACTTATGTTATGGGGAATGCAATTGGATTAAATATTGTTATTACTGGGAAGGCAAAGAAGCAGATCATTATTGTTAATGTTTCCAATAACAAAATAATTAAAGGAAAAGAATAAAACACACACTCTCTCTCACGTATCATCTTCATCAGGCTTACTCCAACCATTCACTTTTCTGCTCAAACAAGTCATCATCACCAACGATTTTTGCTAAACCGTCATCCTCCTCTTTATTTTATCTACACTGAATGGAAAATTCCGCCCTTTCATAGCAAGAACAGGTCCCCTGTTCAGTTCATTCAAACCAACGGTGTTCTCATTTCCACAAGAAAACTACTAAGTTCAGTATCTCTGATATTCAACAAGTTATATACATTCGCAAGAACCTACGCTGACGCAACCACACTGGATGACAAACTCTCCTAAGCCAAATCTATATTCTCTAGAATTTCCCTAATCCTTGCAGCTTGAGATCTATATTCAGAGGCTTTGAAGTGAAAATCGCGCGCAACGAGATGACCGGCTTTGTCTTTGGCTTTGGATAGTGTAGAGAGATGGTGTAAGTGAGAGACATTGCATGGAGTGTATGGGAATTCGGGAATGGGTTTGCCGGCGACTTCAAAGGTTTTGGCAAGCCATACTTTGACTTTGGTGATACCGAAAACTTCGATGGATATTGATGACTCTTGATTGGTCATTCATTCTCTCGCGCAGTTGCAGGTTTTTTGATGAACGAAAGGAGAATGAATCGCAACAGTGTCAGATCTGGAGATGAATTGGGATGCCCTTGCGTAAGTATCAGGAATTCAACATAAATGAAAACGAGAGATACGGTGGCGCGGCGGGGAGTAACGATGTGGTGCGACAGAGCTGCGTTTGGACTTTGGAGAACAGGTAGACGCAAGGAAAGTGATGTAGTAGTATGATACAGAAGGTCTGTGAGGTTTGACGACGGAGATGACGAAGATTGTTATGGAATGAGCAGAGGAAGAATTGAGAGGCTGCAGCGCAGATTATTATCGCAGAAACGGAAAGAGATCGATGATGACGGATGTTGATTAACGGTGTTGTTTCCTTTCCAGACATGTAGCTGGTTCTTATTTATACAGTAAGTACCATGGATATGAAACAAAATTTTGCCCAAAGAGTTTTAGGACCTTCCTATTTATACCGATAGCTGGAAATGTGTATAACTGTCAATAAATAATTGTGTTTGTACAGTGGTCCAGAACAAGAAAAGAGATGGAAGATGAAGGGATTGGAGATGCTAAAGGTTCTGATTCGCACCAGAAGATGCCTCCTGAGTCGAATACAACAACAACCATTCAAGATTTTGGTTTTATTTCTCAAGGTTTAGAATCAATATTTAATCTTCAATTCGGTTGCTCTCACACAATTTTGAAGCAAACAATAACAAAAAACCTACTCATTCTATCAATTTCAAACAACAATAACAAGTAACTATTGGAAAAGACAAGTTTGGGAGAAGAGTCCGAGGATTCCGGATATTTTCGCTAGAAAGTGATCTTGTAAGCTATCTTGACTCTATCTTTCCCTCCTATTCTTCTTCTTTTTCTTCTTCTTCTATTCTGTGTTTGTTCATTGCGTTTTGTGTTTGCGATATTGTTTGTGCGATGCAGTTTTTTTTTTGTGAGTATGTTGGAGATTGAAGGGTTTTTGAAGGTGAGTGTGAAGATTGAAGAACAATAGTAATATGCTATTTTTTCCTTCTCTTTACTGTTTTGCCCTCTTCTTTCTTGTGTTGTGTATCAAATGCTATATAGACTAATGATAAAGTTTAGGAGGGAATTTTTTTGGAATGGATTTTGAACAAATTAAGTGCCCTATTATTATTCTTTTGGATGCAGTATTTTGTATTGCCTGTTTTGATGTATTTTTCGGACTGTTTTGACAGGTTTGGAGCAGATTTTCAGCCTGTTATGGACAGCAGTGCAGGGGTGTTATTTGGACCGATTAGGGGCAGAAATAGAAGGGCTTTTGGACTGTATAGGTGGCAAGATAGCAACAGGTTGCAGCCTATTTTTGTAGCAGGAAACAAGGTGAAAAGAGACAAGGCAATAGCATGATAAAATGGACAGCAGCAAATTGCAAAGTGGATTGATTGTTTTTTTTGTTTTAGTGTAATGTTTGGACTTTATTTGTTGAATTTGTAGTTAAGAAACTTGACCCATGAATTGGACTTTTTGTGAAGTTGTCTTGAATTTGGAATTATGTGGAATTATGAATGAATCATGAATATGCTCGAACTTGTGAATTGTTTTGATCATTTTGAAATGGTGAATTTGATTCATGTTTTGATGCGGGGCTATTCCTGTTATTGGATTGGTTTTATGTAGGTCTAAATCTTATGTAGTTTTTGAAATTTGCATATGGAGCTTAAAATGATGATGAATCAATGAATGTCCATGAAATATCTAGATGTTAGTCGTGCGATTCATACTTAAGTTTAGGCAAGGTGTTGTGTAGCTTTTGAAGCTTAGTGCTTTAGGAAACATGAACCATGCTTGTAAGGTTTTCCCTTTTATTCCATGTGTCATGATGTAATGACCACATGAATTGGAATATATATTTGGTATTGGAAAAGAATCATGCATGAACTTGATTGTAATTTTGGGAATTCAATGACAATTTCTTTAAAGTACCTTTCTCTTCCAAATTGATTTTGAAGTTCCAAGTTCTTTCCTCCAATATTTCCTTTAAATTCCTTTGTATGAATTCAAATGGTCATGATATGAATCCATAATATTTGCAAGGTAATCAAAACTGAATTGAATGTTGAATGAATTCTTGATGGTAAATGAATGAACATGCCACATAAATATGTTGTAACTTCAATCCCGAGCAAGCCAAATACATATCCCTTCCAATTTCACAAGCTATAAACACTTTGATTCATTTGAATCAAAAGAATCTCTTTGAATGAATCTTGAGAAATGATGAACGTGTTTGAAACCTTGAATTAATGTGAACCTAATGACATTTCTCGAGTGAATCTCCAAATTATTTCCAATGAGACATTAATTCAAATCTTCAATTCATAGTAACTTGCAATTTACATCAATAGTACTTGATATAACAATGACGCCTTAAGAACTTTGGTCTAAAATCCACTTTTGTCCAATAATCATCAAATGCTCAGACATAAGTGACTTGAAGAAGCAAAAAGCATTCAAATAATTCTCGAACTAAAAATCTTGTACTATGAACGATGTTAACACAAGACTCAATGTCTCATGAAAATAATTATGGCACGACTTTGAAGTTAGAAGTTAAGAACATTCTAAATCAATAAAATGACCTATAATGTTTCGATAAGTTCTATATCCTTCAAAGCATAATTTGATTCCAAACTTTGGTGAAAACTTGTAAATGGAATCGTCTATGATAACATGCAAAAAGAATTTCCTCAAAATATTAAAATCAAGGAAGTTATGATCCGTGGAAGTTGGGCACAACTACTTTCAAATTAGGTTAAAAATCCAGAAAGTGACCTCTAAAGTATTCAAATTTTTGATGATCTTTCGCATGTAATCAACTCTTGACTTGTAAAGAGAAGTTGTAGATGACGTCAAAGAGAGTCATACACAAAAAGAAATACTCAAAAATATTGAATAATGAAGAAGTTATAGTCATTTGAACTTGATCTTGAAAAGGTCGACTTTTAGGTCAATGCAGTAGATTTTCAGCCATCTAAACTATTGACTGGGAAAACTTGCGATGAAAGGCCTGAAACCTGACACGAGCATCCTTGAGAATACATGAAGAACCATGAAGATCATTTGAAACTTTGGAAACTCAATTCTTCTTGAGAAATACCAAACCCTATTTGCTGACTCAATGCATATAAAGAGAATCTGTCATATCAAACCTTAAACCATTTTGAGTGTTTGAGAAACCCTAAGAGAACATCTTGAATGAAAAATCAGAGGGAAAATTTTGGGGTACAACATTAAAAAGAATCTGTTCAAAGTCGTTGTGTTCCCAGGCTACCTTGAAGATTATTACCACTGTGCTATACAAGTTAATAGTCTTGAATGGCTTAAGAAAGGTGTCCAACACCTGATGGATAGCCATGAAATCCTATTTGAAATAACTCCATCTGTGAAAAGTTTGACCGAAAGTGTGTCTCAAGAGTTTGAAGACGTGTCCATCAATACTATCTCCTACAATCCTACTAGGATCACCTCTAAAGGTCCTATTAGGATCCCCTTTGAGCTAAGGATAACTCCATTTATTATCACCACAACGAGGCCAATCCCCTACTCTTCTAATAAGGTTGGGCCTTGGAATTATGGGGCGGAAGTGTATTACCATGGTATCAAACAAGATTCATGGATGGTCGAAGATGAAACTGATGACATTACAAATATTGTTGGATCAAGTAAAGCTACTAGGATGGGGAGAATCTTCTCTCCAAAGATTTCACCTCCGACAACCGCTACTAAAATACCTGTTGTACCCCAAAATTTGCCTTATTTCTTGTGTTTATTGCACCTTCAGTATGTGCTCTCAAACAAAAGGGAAAAACTTGAAGAGACAAGGGAAACTCAATTTGTGAAAGATCTAAAATATTTTTCCACATCCTCTATCTATCTTTATATAAGCGAAGGCAGTCGAATAGATCCGATCAAAATCAGGAAATAATGACAGACCAACTATCATATTTTATCTAGGAAAAACAACCAAATCTAGTGTACTCAAGTATACATAAAGTTGTGTCACGTTATACCATACCTTTTTAGTTCAAATGTCAAAGAAAAAATGGTGAAACATTTCAATGATGAGACTGAATTCAATGTTCATGTCCATATCACGCTTTAGCAAAACCAAAACAACTGACACCGGGATATACTCCTTTGAGGTCGAACACTACTGCTGAGAGACTCCCGGACATAAAACATGCCCAACGAGTCTTGGGGGCAGCTATTATATGATGTCCATAGACCTGGGACCTATGGTCTGTGCCGACCAAATCCGAGATCCACTAGTATGCGCTGGCCAAAGGCTCCGGTCCACTATTTCTCATTGGTAAAAGACCCAATGGCATGATGTCCATTACCTAGCCTAATCCTCTAGACCCAAGTTATAAATACCTTCGTAAGGGGTTCTAAAGTACACAATCTCTAATCATCACTTTCACTATTACCTATCTTGAATCGTAACTGACTTAGGCGTTATAGTTCTAATCACACAGTGTTGTAACCGGTTTTAAATTGAGAGTCGTCACCCTTAATTTTTATCTTTAGGAAGGGAGTATACAGGATAACCCTAATTTAGTCAGAGATTCTAATTTGTTGGACTCATTCTCAGACGAATGAAGGTGTTAGGAATCCCTCATCTACCTTGTTCACAAAGATACTAGGGTTTAGAAACGTGATCTTTAAGAAATAGGGTTTTAATTTTTTATTAGGGGAACTCGCCAAGATTTTAGTCGTATGCCTACGTATCCTCTTATGAGGAATCAGAGTCCCAATTCGTAGTTCACAGTTGGTTGGTATTTTTTATGGATCACGAAGATACTTTGAATTTTCCTTGAACCAAGTCTGGGTGTGTGAATAGCGGAGTTGTTAGACGAAGTCCGCAGTAGATTAAAATATTTTCATAATCTTTTTTGAAAATTGTTTTAGAATTAATTAAGTTATTAAGGAAATAATTTGGTCTTGGTTAAATATTTTTTTAAATGTAATAATATATAAAAATGTCATTATTAATGCATGGATAAAAATAATTTTAACACAATAAATAAATATTTGGATGAGTTTAAAAAATAAATATTTTATTTTTAATAATAATAAAATAATGTTATAATTTATAAATATATTAAAATATAAAAAAAAATTATAATAATAAAAGAAATTAAAAAAATGCAGGGAGTGTATATTGTGTTGGGCTAGCAAACAGGGTGGTATAAGTAGTAGGGCCTTGAATTCAGATGTTAAATTTATGCCCAAATGTGGGGGGGGGGTGTATATTTGAACTATGTAGCGAAAATGGAGTGTGTAGGGAGTAAGGGTCAAAGTCCAGATGTTGGACTTGGCCCATTAGGCTGGTGGGGGTGTAGGTTTGCATTGTGACAGTAAACAGAGCATCCTTGTGGGTTGGTTTAGCAACTAGGTCTGGGGGAAAAGGTATTGAGGAGTCCGCTTAGACTCCATGCGAATAGGTGTATTGTATTACAATGGAAGTGTTTTTCTGGAATGCTTGATGCGGATCACGCGATCATGATGGAGGGTGCATGGTAGCGACCATGGAATTGTGTATACCAGATTATTGAAGCCATTATATTTTTTTTACAAATCATTTCCGTCATTTTGGTTATCTTTCTCTCTGCTCTATCTATTGTCTCTCTCTAGAAACCCTAACACTGAACCCTTAAGCAGCGGCGACCAACTCTGATCGCCTCCTTCTCCGATATAACAACAATAGAAATCAACCCAAAAACAACCCCAACTCCCAAATCTCAGTACAACAATCTAAGATCAAACACAAAAACCACAACACAAATAGAAACCCTAAAGCTAAGTGTTCTACGGATTACCTCTTTGGCCGTGAATTTGCTTGTTCTCTTCTGATTTCCTTTGATCGTTAATCCTTCTTTTTTGTGTCTCCCAGGTATGGTGGCGGCGGTTCAAGGATCCAGGGTTTCAGACTTTGAAACCTAAATCCCGATTGGAGGCGTCCTAATGAAGATCCAAGCGAGGGTTTTGCAATTCCTTATACGTATTCTCCTCCTCTCCAAATTCTTCTATCTCAGTAGAATTTCCCTTTCCTTTTTTTTCTTTCTCTCTTAGAATATTAGGCCTTTTATAGTGTTTAGATTTAGATAAATTAGGAAGTTTTTTTGTATTTTTCGTTACAAAGAAATTTGATTTAGGAAAGTAATCGTAGTATTTTGCAAACAAGTCCGAAAAAAGGAAAAACACAATTGAAATATTTGAAAAAGTTAATGTTTTATTGATAAATATGCCTCTGAATAAGCGAGAGTACAAGATGAAATTCCTTGAAAGAGATAATTATAGAAAATTTTAAAACTGAAAAATGGCAATGAAAATAATAATTGTTACTG